TGCAGCTCGGTACCAAGGAGTGAAAGGATATGTGGCCATCAAGTCCCTTGACACATGGTTCTCGCAGCCAACTACTTTCCCAGAATGGAATCACTGGATTCTAACTTGTTATACATGCCACTCCTGAGTTCAAGTGGCATTTAGAAAAAAAAGCTGGCTGCCATCTTGAAAAATATTCCGGTCGGGCGACCATATTGTAAGGAAAAAAAAAAGGGCCTCCTTCCTTTGTTCAAAAAGGCAGGATGCTAAACTTTTTCATTTTTTATTTGGCCTTACTACACATTTTTCCATAGAGTGGTCAGTCCTTTCAAATAGTTGGACCATGGTTGGACAGTACCAGTAGACTTTAGCCTCATTTTGAAATCACTTGAATTCCCTCTCATGTGCAAAATATTGAAGAAAAGTCTCCTTTAAGAATTGAATTGAGTCTTCAAACTTGGTTGGTGAAAAACTGAGGACCTTTTCTTTGCCAAATTTTGGTGAAATTTGCTGGCTTAAGAGTGAGTAAAGTTGGCCTGATTTAGTTTTGCACGTTTCAGAACACTCTAGGTCTCAGTCTGCTTTTACCCTTGACTAGGCCTACACGCAGACACCTCCATAATGATCGTTCACCAAAAAAAATTGGGGAAAAAAGTCCCTACCTACATGTACCTTTCAAATGCCATGTTACATGTACATGTATAAGTCGGAAGCAGAACTATTTGTTTTGGCCTAAACTGTGGATTGCTAGAGTGTTACTCCGGTAAAGTGTTTGTTCCATTGACTCCATAGTCCATTGTTATTTTGAATAATTTGTCCCTTTATTGCATTTACATAATGCGTAAACAAACCTTTCTTTCAGCTTCACTCTCAGCTGTACCTACGCTGACTCCATGTCAGAGGTGGCAGCAAGTCATTTCTTGCAAGTCCAAGTCACGTCACAAGTCATTGTTTGCAAGTCCAAGTCAAGTCACAAGTCATTAGGTCCAGTCACAAGTCAAGTCACAAGTCATTAGGTCCAGTCACAAGTCAAGTCACAAGTCATTTGGTCTTAACACAAGTCAAGTCACAAGTATCTTTGTCCAAGAACACGTCAAGTTGCACATTGTAATAAGTTACAGCTGTAATAAGCTAAAAGAATTAATCTGGCGTCAACTTACGAGTTATTTTAAACATGCCTCCTTAATTCCCCTTTTTCAATGTGTTGCAATTACATGTACTTTTCTTGTAGTTTATCACATATCTGTCGGATATTAGCCCTTTGTATACTTTAGGCCCTAATAAATTTACTTTACATTTTAGAAATAAATGTTGAGATGACCGTGAAAAAAAGACTTCACTCACTCGATTAAATATAGTATACTAACACTTTATTGTTCAATTTTCATGTATAAACGCCTACCAATGGGTTAGGCTATCCGGTATTTTACGTGCAATTGACAAAGGCCTGCTTTCTTTTCATGAAAGGTTCCTTTCAAAGTTTGTTCAACCAGTACATTAAGCAAGAGACAATTGGTCATTGAAAACTGTAGTTTGTTGTGACAGTCTTATTGAAAACTTTTGAAACTAGTGGGAACTATTCATTTTACTGGATTCAGTCACTGAGGTCTATTTTCTGGAATGAAAAAGCTAATTAAAAGTATAATAGCTTGATTAAAGTGTATTGGGTCGCTCGAGTAGCGTCTGACTTGGGTTGGTTACAAGTCATTTTTTGCAATCCCAAGTCAAGTCACAAGTCATTGTTTGCAAGTCCAAGTCAAGTCACAAGTCAAAGCTTGTATATACAAGTCAAGTCACAAGTCACAAAAATAGCGACTCGAGTCCGACTCGAGTCCAAGTCACATGACTCGAGTCAGCAACTCTGCTCCATGTTGTGCTGTGCAGTTTACTGAATAACATATTGCTGTATGTTCACCGCCCATGGTACAACTGTGAGCCAGTACATGCGCACTGCTGTATTGTAACAAGCTACCATAGGAGTGTTGTGTTATTATGAGTGTTGGTTTTTTATGCCCCGCGGCGAAGCCGAAGGGGCATACTGTTTCCGCCTTGTCCTTCCGTGGGTGGGTGTGTGGGTGGGTGGGTGGGTGGTTTGAAGTTCAACATATGAACTTCAAATTTGGTTTGTGGATTGTCCTTGGTAATCCTAAGAAGCCTTTTGCATTTGGGGCCGAAAGGTCAAGGGTCAAGGTCACAGTGGCTGAAACAATAGAAATTTTGTCAGCGCGATAACTTGAGAAATACTTTACATATGAACTTCAAATTTGGTTTGTGGATTGTCCTTGGCAATCCTAAGAAGCCTTTTGCATTTGGGGCCAAAAGGTCAAGGTCACAGTGGCAAAAATAAAAGAAATTTTATCAGCACGATAACTTGAGATATACTTTACATATGAACTTCAAATTTGGCTTGTGGATTGTCCTTGGCAATCCAGAGAAGCATTGGTTCGATCGCATTGGGGGTCGAAAGGTCAAGGTCACAGTGGCTTAAACAATAGAAATCTTGTATTTATTCTGAGATCATAGGGATTAGGGATTAATTCATATAAAACCTACAGAAGACACTAATGCTGTCAATGAACGTTCCATGTGACCAAGGTACATGTAAGTTGATGTTAGAGTGGTGTTATGTCATGGAAACAGTCACGGTTGCGGGGCATTTGTGTTTGTAAACACACCTGACTTGTTTTATAATAAGCCAATCATTGCTGTTGTATGAGGCGCGTAAGCATACGCACACGCGCATACGCAGAGCGCGTCTGCACTGTGCCTTTAAATATGACTGATTTTCAATTATTTGGGTTCTGTTTTCTCTTGGAGCAGACCACGCAAGACCTCAAGGCATGCAAATACTCGTTTTTTTTTACCAGTTTTAATGCAGCATAAAAGAATACAAGAAATGAGGCCATCGAACGCAACCAATGCTACCACTGAATTGCTCATATTTTATTGAAATCTCAACTTAAAGGGAATGTACAACATTTGCTTTTGCTGCAAGTTTCAGAAATAATTGGATTTGGAGGATTAGTATGTTATAGCAAATATTGTTAAACTGACTTGCTTCACGTTTTGGGTTCGGAGGTGCTGGAAAATCCAAGAAAACCAACCATGTTCTTGTAGTCTGGTTCCCTAAGATGAAACGGAACAATTGATAGACTTAAGGGAATTGTAAGGTCAAAGAATCCGTCTAGCAGGTTTGTACCCCTTCACAGGTGTGTAATCAATTGCAAAGAAAATATGGAATAACTAAATATGAAAATTTAGGAGCAGTTTTTGAAAAAAGCTAGTTTTCTCCAACGCTGGTCGGCTGACCAGCATTGGAAAAAATACAAGTTTTCTTGAAAATGTCAGCACACCAGGAGCCACGATTTTATAGGATGCTTTGAACTATCATTCCTAACAATCCAGTAAGATATTTTGTGGTAATTTGATCATTTCGTTTTTAGATGTTTGCAAATGTTGTTTCTTCCCTTTAAAAGATAGGGCATTCTGTTAAAGATTGTGCGGTTTATTTGAGAACCAGAATAAAAGTTCTTTTTTAAGAGTTGATTGGTAAAAGACTTTTATTTATTTTTTTTAGATATCTTTCTTCTTTTGTTCTTCCTGCATTTAATCTCATTGATCGAAAACTCAACTCAAGCTTCTTGCAGACAACTGGGACCATCTTGGGTTTTTAGACCAGATTAGCTGTATAGGCATTGCCGGAATCGTTACAATATCAAGCGCATTGTTGTTATTTAGTCAACCAGTTACCTTTAAACAGTGATGTAGCCAGGAATTTTTCAGTGGGGGGCGCTGGGGGGGGGGGGGGAGGGGGGGGGCTGGAACATTTCATGGAGGGGCGTCATGTAGATCAATGATAATTTTTTCAGAAACTCGAAATCTCAATGGGGGGCGACAAGGTTTCATGGGGGGGCTGTCGCATCGTTGGAAATTTCCGTCAGTAGTTCTTTTTTTATTCAGCAATGTGCGCGCAAGCGTTGACACGACGTACACGCGCGCACGGTTGCTTTAATTCGTCGGATCAGCTGCAATCGGCTCAGTGAGAATGTGTCTCGGACCCTGAATTCAGGCCCAATTCAAAACATGATTCAGCAACTTTTGATTTGAAATTGACATCCTAGAATGCTGTTACAGCTGAAGCTGAGCTGAAACTTCATCAGGTTAGTTGTTCAGCACCCTTCTTCAGATTTTGAGCACGTTTGTTGCTTCAAACGAACAAAATGCACAAATTATAAATGATGGACTGACCTTTAAAGCATTTTAAAGAACGGATGTCGTCGAGCTACCACAGTAGCCTAGTGGATAGCGTGATGAGCTATGGATACAAAGATCATCCCTGGTTCCAATCCACGTCGTCGCTGCTCATTTTCATCAACTATTTTTCTTCTCTGAATTTATCGTTGAGATAATTTTATTTTAAGGGAAAAAAGAGAACGAGAACCTATAAGTGTCTTGCAACGATTCAAAGGAAAACTGAATTATGCATGACATTTGAGCAACCCTGGCCTACGGAAAAAGTGTGCCGTCATCTCAATTCAACCATGCGTACTTCACACGGTGTAGTAAAGCACGAATGGAACTGGAAGTTAACGCACTCGAGTGTTTATCAAATGAGCGCTAGTAGTCAGTGGTGCGCACGCGTATGACTTTTTACTAATGAACCCATTGATCTCCATTAGTAAGTCTTATAGCCCCTAATGGAGTAGTCTGGTTCCCAGACCAAAAGATTCTGACTATTCCTGATGAAGGTTCCTGATGAAGATTCTGACCAACCTCGTCCCTTGGGCAGTACGCGCCCACCACTACCCATTGGAAACGAGGTTGGAAATAAAGTAAGCACTGGGGATGAAGTTGGATTCTGACTATTCCTGATAATCTTAGGTCAGGTAGCCATCTAAAGCACCGAGTACAGGTACATTCAAGGCTGAGTACTGGGCTGAGTCGGAGTACCTAAGAAATATCTGCATAGGATTGTTGCCTTATTATTGGCAGTATCTATTTTTTGTTTAATTTCTTTCCAGCAGTGACGCTTTCCACCATGATCCAAGCACACAAAGCAGACCTGTGGATGGTTCTACTTCTAGGTAAGTGGCATCCATTGCGTGCTTCAGTCATGCAGGCGATACGAATGTGCAATTGTATGCGCCAGTTACTCAAAATTTGAACTATATTGTCAATTTTTGAAACAAAACAAAGCCTTTTTTTTATTTAATGGATCCCGGATACTCCTAGAACTATGAGGCTCCACGTCATAGGTTCAGAACCCCGCAAAATTGTTGTCAGCACAAAACACTAATTAAGTACAAAAACGTCCATCCCAACCAAGCCGTTTCCCACAGAACCGCTGCACAGTTTGCCCCTAAACTCCGTACAATACCTCATGACATACTCACGTTATGTGCACCGAACAAACATCGGTGGATTCTGTCTGTTTTCGGCAAAAATGATGAAAAATATGCCCTTTCCGCACTGAGCCAACCTAACACTTGAAACGAGCACGCGCACAGAATGATCGCAGTCATTTTCGGGTTCGATCGCTCGGAGCGCGCCGCGGGGGGTACGTACTTGCACTTGTACGCATGCGCATACTATCGTTCCGCTCCTACACCATACCCCCCGCGGCGCGCTCCGAGCGATCGAACCGAAAATGACTGCGATCATTCTGCGCGCGTGCTCTTTCCAAGTGTTAGGTTGGCTCAGTGCGGAAAGGGCATATTTTTCATCATTTTTGCCGAAAACAGACAGAATCCACCGATGTTTGTTCGGTGCACATAACGTGAGTATGTCATGATGTATTGTTCGGTGCACATAACGTGAGTATGTCATGAGGTATTGTACGGAGTTTAGGGGCAAACTGTGCAGCAGTTCTGTGGGAAAAAGCTTGGTTGGGATGGACGTTTTTGTACTTAATTAGTGTTTTGTGCTGACAACAATTTTGCGGGGTTCTGAACCTATGAGGCTCCACTACGTGGAGCCTCATAGTTCTAGGAGTAGATCCCGGAGACATAAAAAAAGAGAGATCATTACGACTTATGAAAATGCTCTACTTCCCCGATACAACTAAAGTTCCATTTTCTATAAGTTTCAGTCAAACGGAGTCTTATGGGGTAGATTGCATTAATCTGTTACGTTAATTTTACACCATCAGTAATCTTTAAATAAAATATGACTTATTTAATAATATCAGTTGGTATACTTTCCCCATTATAGTCATTATTGTGGTGGTGACTCGCATCCAAGCAAGTAGTAACGAGGATGGAACCATCTTCCTGGAGCGAGGCAACCCTGGCATCCTGTCCTGCCCTCCCGTCGCATCCGGACGAATCCCACTGGGTCAGATCATCGCCATGTACTGGTACTTCCCCCGAGTACGAGATGAAGACATCTTGATCTCCTACTTCTTTGGGAATGTCGGTCCACAAAACGGCATTCCAGAGGGCGTGTATGACATCAATGGAAACTTCTCTCTGGTTATTGAGAACGTCACCGACTCAGACGAAGGGACCTACTACTGTAGGGTCAAACCGAGGTTGAGAATGATGGTTGATGGGCACGTGGCAATGCGTGTCAAAGGTGAGTGGGTTGTTGTCAAATTATTTCTATTTTTTTTATGTCTCGTTTTTATGCCAGAGTTTTTTGTTCGTTTCGTTTCGTGTTTCCTTTATCTTTCACTCAACCCCGAATTCACGCAGTTTATCACACTTCGATCTATATACTTACGCAACAGTTTTTAAAGAGGTTGTGGAATGCTCGAAGACATTTCCGTCATTTTTCGGGTAAATGTAGCCTAAGGTGTGATGAAATAAAAACGACTATTGTTTCTGTCATGAAATGAGTACAAAAGGTATTTTTGAGAGCTGTTTTTCAGGTCCAGTTTCGACCCGAACATGCAACTGTGTAAAAGTCGTCGTTGCGGGCAGCAAACAAAACACAGTAAATCGTGACGTAATAAACAGGACTCCCGATGCACAGTAGCATACACGAGTCCTGTTTATTACGTCACGATTTACTGTGTTTTGTTTGCTGCCCGCAACGACGACTTTTACACAGTTGCATGTTCGGGTCGAAACTGGACCTGAAAAACAGCTCTCAAAAGTACCTTTTGTACTCATTTCATGACAGAAACAATAGTGGTTTTTATTTCATCACACCTTAGGCTACATATACCCGAAAAATGACGGAAATGTCTTCGAGCATTCCACAACCTCTTTAAACACGATGTCTTCATGGAATACGCACCTGATTGGTAGCACAGTCCAATTATCTCTTTTATTCGACGGTACCAGTAGGAATACGCCCCTTGTAGAAAATGGTTATGGTAATTTACTGGCCCTTTCCATGGTAATTTGTTGTATTTTATATGTTCTTGGAAGTCCAGGTGAAAGCACATTTTTTTTTAACGTGGTATAAATTTGAAGCGTAAGGTAGAGTGTGGGAGAGAACCATTTGTGCGTTTGGGAGAGAGAGGTGTCAAGGAGTTACTGTGTGAAGTTTTGTTGGGTCGTCGCCACCTGTAACCAGCAGGCGAGTGGAAGCAGCCACCGCAGGTACCGGGCCGGCCAACTTAAACTGTTGAGGCCGAGAGCCACGTATAGTCAGAAGTACATGTAAAAGTACTTGCTTGACACTCTCTTCATCTGTATGACCAGACGCCACACGGCAGTAGCCTGACCCCAAGAGTACATGTACACTCTCCAAGAATTACTGTACCAGTAAGTTCCTGATTTTTGAGTCATGTTTGGTTGTAATCTGAATCCACTAGTTTAGACACCATGTGAGATCAATTTGTATTTTCATGTGTGATTCCAAAAGAACCAAGATTTGTAGTGTTTTTGGTTATTTTACATTTCACAGATAACCATTTTCCCTGGTGGGAACAACCAACCCTATTCCTATACTGTGAGACCAATCTGTAAAATGGCAGGGACCCCACTGTAGCCAGGCGGTGACTGATCAACACACTGATCGAGGCAGAGACGACAATCCAGTCAACGCTAGTGTCACCCACCTGAGCCTATTTACCTGCCATTTTACAATTCTGTATCTGGGGAAGGTTGCAAATATCTTAAACATAATCTAGAATCTGGAATCTAAAACCCACAAATTGGCTTTGATTTAAATTGTAATTTGTAAAACTTAAAGACCGGTTGCTTTGTTTTCTTTACTTTGTTTCTTTTAATGTAACAACTAAGTTGGCTTTATTTGAAGATTTGGATTGATATTTCTGTATTCATTTCTTGGCTGGATCAGCAAATTTTCCGTTAATATTTGTTAAAACTCAGATGAGAAATTGCTGAATTATTTTGTTGGATTGAGCTTTCATATTTTTGTGTTGTTGCAAAGTTGCTAATTTGTATGCCGTGCTTAAGTTAACCTGCTAAGTTAACCCGTGCTAATTCAACCTGTTGTGACAAATCACGAACTACACTTTTTATATTAGTCTCCCTTATCTCAACTGTATGAGCCAAATAGCACTGTTAAGTGGGTGTGTCTTTAGTCACCTACTGAAATCTGATTGGTCAAATCCTTTTGTATTGAGTAAAGCACACGTGTACAAGATTATAGGGATGTTGGCCTATAAAAGGCAGAGCTGATGAAATAAAACTCACTTCCTGATCAGGTGGGGCCGAAGAAGTCAAACCAATCTCCTGTGCCTAATTTATTGTTGATTGTCTAATTAATTATACTCGGTTAAAGGGTGTGGTCCACAGTGATCCACATTAAATCCACCCGTGATCCACCCAAATCCACCCGAATCCACCCAATCCACAGTGATCCACCCAATCCACTAGGTCACCCCGCCCCCAAATCAAACCACAAGTAATCCACACTACCACTGAGGCATAGAAGGGCTCAACAAGAAGTATCCCGGAGCTGTGGCATTCAACCGCAGGTGCTGACGTCATTAGACCTGGCAGGGCTAGGGAAACCGATTGGCTACGCACGTTACATTGGTGGCAGCGGTGGGATGACAAAGGATGTCCAGTTGGACAAGAGGTCACAGGAACTTCCCCCACAGGTCGCAGGAGGGGCATCATCAGTAATCTACCCATCATTATCGTCTCCTTGGCCGGGGTATATGTCCACACCAGTGGATCCGGGACCAAGGCGGGTGGAGGCGCCGGCTTATCAAGGTTTTGTGGGTCGGTCCCAAACCGAATCCGAGCCGAGCAGTGCATCCTGGCAGAGACAAGCTGGCCCATTGCTACAAGATGGTTTTGCAGGTTCAGCTTACAGTATGACTACAACTCCGAGCGGCAATCCGTTTTTGACGGATGAGGTGAGATGTAATTTGCAGCACCAGTTTCACGGAACACCACAACAGCCTTCGGTTACCGCACCGACAAGGACGCTAGCGGGAATCATGAGCACGGGGTTGCAGCAGCAAAGTCAGCCAGCGATTTGGCAAGGAGCAGCAGGGCTCTCATGGAACCCTCCTGACAAGGTCCCAACGGTGTCGCAGGGGGTGGAGCTACCCAAATCAGCTGTGGGTGCCAAGGTGGAAGGCAGAGTCCACCGCAAACCAAGCATGGTTCCTGACCGATTCGCGGGGGCTATCCCATGGAGAGACTACAGGGCCCATTTTGAGTCTTGTGCGGTCATCAATGGCTGGTCGGCTGAAGAAAAGGCATATTTCCTAGCAGCTAGTCTGAAGAGTCAAGCTCAACAGGTGTTGGGAGACAGGGTCTCCGGTGATGTGTTGAGCTATTCGGAGCTCACAGAGAGACTGGAGAGGAGATACGGGCCTGGTGAGCAAGCCGAAACGTTTTTAGCGGAGCTGCGAAGCAGAACAAGAAAAACAGGGAAAGGTTTGCAGGAGCTTGGGCAGGGCATACGTCGACTGACAGAGCTGGCGTATCCAGAGCTCCCGAGAGACAGCAGAGAGCGCCTGGCACGAGGGCACTTAGTGGATGCCATACCGAATGCAGAAATTCGAGCTGGAATATTTAGGGCTCACCCCAAGACACTGGACGAGGCTGTTAGAGCAGCATTGGAAACGGAGTCATTTCTAAATGCGGAGAGACAGCGGCAACAAGCCCAGGGTGGACGGTTAGATAGAAATCCCAGAACAACAAGACAAGTGGAAATCGTCTCGAGAGAGGAGTTTGAACAGCAAACAAGGGTAATGTCGGAACAGTTACAGACATTGCATCAGTTGATGTCGAGATTGACTGAAGCGATGAAGCAAGAGGCTCCCCAACGTGTCAAGTGGGAGGGGGAGCCACGACGGAGGCTAAGCTGTTTCAATTGTGGAGAAATTGGGCACTTTCGGGAAACGATGCAGGACCAACCCAGCGGGTCATGGGGAGGTCACTAGCAGAACCAGACCCAAACAAGGTGGTGGTCGTGGAGGCAAAGAAAAATTAGGGATTGACGAGGATGGTTCGGATGGAGAAACGGTTCAATCGCATCCAAAAGAAATAGGAGCACTTCATGGGGTGTATGTGGAAGGGCAAATCGGCCAACACTCGTTGCCATTTCTGATCGACACAGGATCTTCAGAGACACTGATTAGTATCACAGAGTATAACTCGATGATCAGAGGAGTTCGTCCCAGTTTGGTGCCGATTAGTGATGTAATCCGCCAGGCGGATGGTAAGCCACTAACTGCCAAGGGGAGTACAAATAGGAGCCCTGATGGGGGTACAAATAGGAGGATACCGTGCTGAAGTGGACGTTATTGTCGCGCCAATTAGAAATAGGGGCATACTTGGAATGAATTTTCTGCTGACCACTGCCTGTACCCTGGACCTGAAAGAACTTCAACTCAGAATAGCAGAGCACACCGTGCCCCTTTGTGATGGCAAGAGAACCAGTTCATCTTGTTATAAGGTCCGTGCCGAAAAGACATCCCGGATTCCACCAGGACATGAAGCCATCATCACGGGAGTCCTGGAACAACCGATGGAACTCCAAGGTTTGGGAATGATTGAGCCCACTGACAGGAACGTCTTGTCCGAAAGAGGGTTACTGGTCGCCAGAGTGCTGGTGGATGCGGGAGTTGACAGCTACCCAATTCGAGTGTTTAACCCAGGTGCAAGCGTAGCGACAGTCAGTGGAGGATGTATAGTAGGGACACTCACAGCCATACATGAGGAAGACGTAGAATCCCCTGGGGTGTCAGTAACAATAATGGAGAGGGCAGACAAGGGATCAAGGGAAGTACCGGAACATCTTGTTGAACTTTACCAGCAGAGTGTAAGCCAACTGTCGGATGATGCCGACAGAGAACGAGTCAAGAAACTACTGATAGATTATCAAAACATATTTTCCAAGGGTTTGGGTGACCTGGGCAAGACAGATATTGTCCACCATAGCATCCGGGTTGATGAAACGATGCCAATTCGTCAACGAGCAAGGCAACTTCCCATCTGGCAGAGGGTGGAAGCAGATGAGCAAGTTCGGGAAATGGTGCAGAAGGGGATAATTGAGCCGTCTAGCAGCGTGTGGGCATCACCGGTCGTACTGGTAAAGAAAAAAAACGGCTCTACCCGGTTTTGTGTGGATTATAGATCCCTCAATGCTCACACCCTGAAAGACGCTTACCCCATACCTCGGGTTGACGACAGTTT